AGCACACTTTAAAACTATATTTCTGCATATATATATATATATATATATATATATATATATATATATATATATATATATATATATATAAAATTTATTCGAAAATTATAACATAAATATGTTATAAAATCAATACAAAATAATCATTTTGTTTCAACACTTCTGGTGTCTTATCAAGTGATGGTGTTGAATGTGGAGCTATATGATTCGATACTGAGGTCAACACTGACTGCTGACTATTTGTTTCACGCTTGGACGCAATTTTCAGGCTATATATATATATATATATATATATATATATATATATATATATATATAGAGAGAGAGAGAGAGAAAAGAAGGGAGAGAATTGTATTTTGAACCTAGTGATTAGGTTTATAGTTACGCTAATCACGATACAGCAAGTTGTAACATAGAACCAACCAACAGAAATATAGTTCTACAGAATTCTGCTGAAAATACCATAGGGTAGCCATGTGAGGAAGTTTTAAATGAAATGTGAACTAGAAGTACTTTTATACTGAAAAACAGAAAGAGACACTTGACATTTCTGGGACAGATAATTAGGAATGACGGCTTGGAGAATTAAAAACTCAAAAGGCATAGTGAAGAAAGAAGAAGCAGAGCTTAACAATGAGTAACCTAGCGAACGAGTTTGTGTCTATGGATGGCAGCACGGGGACAAATATACTCAAATTTTCTTTAGAGCTACAAAGGACAGGAAGATGTGGAGAGGCATGATTGTCAACTTTCTGAAGAGTAATATTAAATATATGTAAAAACGAGGTAGATATTTACTTGAAAAGAGAAGGAGAAAAACGATTTTTAACGTTTTAACCTTTGTTTGAGTCTAATTAGTGTACGTAAGAAAATAGAGAATAGTGTGTGAAACAGTTTGCCGCTTTATAGCGAACAGAAAAACAAATTCTTCCCAATTACACATCCAGATCCTTGTTTTACTCTGCGCTATCTAAAGAACCATTGTTTTGCGTCTTGCTGAAACAAAGTTCCTGTAAGCACATTCCAGACGTGTCAGTTTCGTTCATGTAAGACATTGGTGTTTTTGCAGGGTGACAAGCGAAGAAGTTACCATTTTTGACGATCATTTATTTGACATGCCTTTAAGCCAGGAAGCTGGAAAGCGGTCCGTGCGAATCCATGACATCTTAGATTCGAGAGTTTTGGGGGTCGGTCTTGAAAGAAATAGCGTAAAAACCAATTGTGATTCGTCGGCAGGGTTGGGTAGGAAGGTAGGGAATAAGTAAAATATTTGTGGAAAAATGTTTTTATGACCGGACTGAAAACTTAGCAATAAAGAGAGAAGGAAAGATACAATGACGGTAAGAGAGGGGAAAGAAAAGATAAAGGGAGGGTGAGAGCGTAAAAAAAAAAAAGAGAGGGAGAGACAGACAGAAACAGAGAGAGTGTGTATATTAGTGTATGTGTCCGTTTGTGTGTGTGTGAGTGTGTGTGTGTAGTCGATAGCGTAGCTAACACAATCAAGATACTAGAATACTAATATTTATATCCACATACTCACTCATGTACATAGATTAACACGTACACGCGCACACACACACACAAAAAGAAAAACTGTAATGCATCTAATCAATAAAAAGCTTTCTTTTTACGCAACATTTATTTGAGGCTACGCATTTATTGATGAGCACACCATTATATATATATATATATATATATATATATATATATATATATATATATATATATATATATTATTTAAAAAATATATATATATATATATAATAATTATTTATAAAAAAATTATAACATAAGTATGTTATAAAATCACTACAAAAATAGCCATTTTGTTTCAACACACTCGGTGTATATATATATCTAAATATGTCTGGGTGCTTATGTATTATAATCTGATTGTCTTTTTGTTGTTTTGCGCGTGAGTTTAAGACCACATGCACACACTTTAAAATAAAATATATATATATATATATATACATGTATTGTCAAATGACCGGATATATTGATTGTAGCGTCTTGTCGAACGTAATTTCAACGAAGAAATAAATTGCATAAACATATATATTTTTTCTTTTCTCGATAATTTTGTAGTTTTTAAAATTAATAGTGATTAAATTTGGATTTTAAAATTGCCAGTTTTTAATTTTAATATTAAATTTTATCATATAATTTTATAATTATTGGTTAGTATAAATTATTTTTAATTTTACACGTATTTTAAAGATCTGAATAACTATTATAACATGATTTCGTTGTCAAGCATTTGAATCTTTCTATACTTAGTTTTTGATTGGTTATTCTAGCTTTTGTAACAATGTTTCCCCCTAGTGTAGGATCGTTTATTAATCTGAAACTTTTAAAACCATTTATTTTATCTTCAACATCATCACTTGATAAGACACAGAGTGTGTTGAAACAAAATGGCTATTTTTGTAGTGATTTTATAACATACTTATGTTATAATTTTTTTATAAATAATTATATCTGCTCTACTTTGTATTGTGCACTCTTTTAAGAATAGTAATTGTTGGTTATTGGAATTCATTCCATATATACCAATTATATACTTGTATATATATATATATATATATATATATATATATATATATATATATATATATATATATTCAATTTAATTTAATTTAAAGAAAAACAGATCACTTTAAGGCTCCATTTGTAATAATTTATTTCACCAGAGAATATTTCGCTGGATATTCAGACTTCACTTTCAAAAGGTGAAACGAAAAATGAATTTAAAATTTACCCTTTTGACGTGCAGTATTAAGTTTATATAAAGTGAGGGCGGTGAGGAATGGTATGAGAGACATGGTCTAGTTTAGAGAGGGAAGGGAGAGTTTTGAAATTTATTTTTATATTTCTTTTTATTATAATACTTAATACTGAGGAAAATAAAATTCTCCGGTGAAATAAATTATTACAAATGGAGCGTTAAAGTGGTTTGCTTTTTTCTTTCATTTGGGATTATCCATACGGATTACCAAGATTTTCGTCACTTAACTATATATATATATATATATATATATATATATATATATAAATATATATAGTTACTTAACTCTCTCTCTCTCTCTCTCTATATCTATATATATATATATATATATATATATATATATATATATATATATATATATATATATATATATTATATTATATCTATACTGACTGGTGTAAATAAATCCGGATAGTACAATTTGCAAATAAAAATATATTAAAACATTACTTAACTATATATATATATATATATATATATATATATATATATATATATATATATATATATTATGTTAATGTCTATGCGCGACTGGTGTAAATAAACCTAGTTAGCCAGAAACTACCTACCTAGGTTTCACCTAAATGGATCTTCAGGGTAAGATGGCTTACCCTAAAGATCCAATAAGTAGGTAGTTTCTGGCTCACTAGAATTATATATATATATATATATAAAAGGCTCAAACACTAATATTCCATGGTTATAATTTATTACACTGGAATCGCAATCACGACCCAATTTATCAGACCTACCAATTATTACGATTCCAATCTAATAAATTATAACCATGGAATATTAGTTTTTGAGCCTTTTATATTATATTCTTGCTCCGTCTTGTACAATGAGCTCTACCTGGATTCTATCCTCTTGGGAATTTATATATATATATATATATATATATATATATATATATATATATATATATATGTATTGACCACTAATATTATCAATATATATATATATATATATATATATATATATATATATATTCACAAATTGAGTACAGATTTAAATAATTTTTTTAATTTTATTTTATTACTAATTACATATGTATATTTCATTTCTTCTTTTTGTCACTATTGTGGGTGGGGCTGTAAATGTGATCAAATCTGCCAATAAGAATGAGCTAATGAATTTTTATTACTATTTCTGTAACAAGATCAAATCTGGTATAATTATGAAATAATTCTTAAAATTAAGAACGAGATTAGATATCTCTGGATATGGGCGTTGGGCCGAGAATATTCTACCTCTGTAGATTAAATAAAGTGTTCAGTTCGGAATCCTCTGTAGGTTACTCGAATCGATAATACACCTGCTGAAGTACATTTTATTATTTTTTTTAATCATTAAGACGCAAAGAGAGGTAACAATAACAAAAGTAGCAAAACAAGATAACTACCCTACACACAAGCCACCAATCTGCCGCTGGGTGGCATGCCACTAGCGTTTACCGCTGGTGGCGGGCTGTCGTGTTCGTCTTGGCAACGTTACCACTTGTGGACCGCTAGTGGCCCATATTTAGCCCTAAGTGGTGTCACCAGAGGACCGCTGGTGTTGCCAACGGCGGTTCGCCAGCAGGGCACTAGTGGCTTGTGTGTAGGGACAGTACATTGGCATCGTAATCAAATTTTTGAAGATCAAAGTTTACTGGAAAGCAAGTAGTCAGAAGAGAGTTATACAAACGAAAGTTTCGAGAGAAAAAAGTATGAGCATAGAACGGTTACGACTGCCTGTATCATACGTAAATTGAGGAGTTCTAGGTGCCAATCTACTAAATTCGTAAAGTCCAAATGCCAGAGAAGAAGGCTTAGAGGAAAGCTTATCAGAACAATTGACATGAAAATATGAGATGGCAGGTTAGAACAGAGAACATTCCAGATTCTTCTTTGGATTTTATATACAAGTTTATGTATCTCCTGCAAAGGGAGACGCAGGATCAAAGTATGCCGGAAGACGCAAGATTTCTTTAATAAGTTTTTCGACATATACAAAAATAGAAATTCTGTATGAATAACGGAATAGATAGATAGATAGATAGATAGATAATTAACATCGATAGATACATAGATGATTAACATAGATACAAAGAAAATTAACATAGATACAAAGAAAATTAACATAGATAGATATAGAGATATTTAACATAGATAGATAGATAAATAGATAATTAACATAGATACATACATACATACATACATAGAGAGATAGGTAATTAACATAGATAGATAGATAGATAGATAGATAGATAGATAGATAGATAGATAGATAGATAGATTGGGAGCGAAAGATCGAAAAGAATAGATAGCGGAAAATTTTCCGTAAGATAACCCATTCCGAATCCTGTCACCCCCCCCCAAAAAAAAAACAGAAGAAATTGTAAGAAATCAAAAATAAAGAAAGAAAGAAAGAAAGAAAGAATAATAAATAAGTGAGCGATATTCAAAGAAACAAAACGAGATGTTTTGTCTAAGAGGTAATAAAAGTTGTGGAAATTTTGAGTAAGAGAACGCACACATATGTGACATACATATGCCACAAATGAGATAGATATAAACAAATGAGATAGATATGAACAAAATGAGATAGATAGCTAGATATGAACAAAATAAGATAGGTAGATAGATAGATATGAACAAAATGAGATAGATAGATAGATAGGTAGATAGATAGATAGATAGATATGAACAAAATGAGATAGATATGAACAAAATGAGATAGGTAGACAGAGAGATATGAACAAAATGAGATAGATAGATAGATATGAACAAAATGAGATAGATAGATAGATAGATAGATAGATAGATAGATAGATAGATAGATAGATATGAACAAAATGAGATAGGTAGATAGATAAATATGAACAAAATGAGATAGATAGATAGATAGATAGATAGATTGATTTGAAAAAAATGAGATAGATAGATAGATAGATATGAACAAAATGAGATAGCTACATATGAACAAAATGAGATAGATAGATATGAACAAAATGAGATAGATAGATAGATAGATAGATAGATAGATATGAACAAAATGATATAGATAGATAGATAGATAGATATGAACAAAATGAGATAGATAGATCGATAGATAGATATGAACAAAATGAGATAGGTAGATAGATAGATATGAACAAAATGAGATAGATAGATCGATAGATAGATATGAACAAAATGAGATAGATAGATCGATAGATAGATATGAACAAAATGAGATAGGTAGATAGATAGATATGAACAAAATGAGATAGATAGATCGATAGATAGATATGAACAAAATGAGATAGGTAGATAGATAGATATGAACAAAATGAGATAGATAGATATGAACAAAAGGAGATAGATAGAAAGACATGAACAAAATGAGATAGCTAGATAGATATGAACAAAATTTATATATATATATATATATATATATATATATATAAATTTTGTTCATAGATAGATAGATAGATAGATAGATAGATAGATAGATAGATAGAGTTGAGGAATTGTAAGCTAGAAAGTGTCAGAAAGTTAGATGCAGATGACGGAATATTGTCCCGAATAGAAGTAATACCGAACAATAAAAAAAAAACGCAAAGAAAAAAGCCCCATAATCAATTGTAAGAAGTAAAAAAAAAAAAAAATGAAAATGAAACGAAAGCAACATAAGAACAGGTTTAAGAATAAGCAAAGTAAATCTGTTTGTGTTGTCCACTCGTTTCCATTCTATATCTGATGTTGGCTGATATGATGTGATAGGAAGAGGCGGCCAGTACAGAAAGCAAGCCAGGGGAAAGGGATCCCGTCGAAGCAGAAACTAGCCAAGCGTTTAATGGAAGTAAGACATTCATAGGTAATGTCCGCCTTTTTAAGAATTTGCCTTCTCGAGTTTTTGCAGAGGAAACTGAGAGAGGCATTTCAGCCCAGCACGAATGGCTAACATACATCATCTCTGACACATATACACATCCATATATACTTCATATATATATATATATATATATATATATATATATATATATATATATATATATATATATATGATATTGTATAGGGTTAGGAGGGTATGGGTTGTGTATATTTGTCCGGGTTTAAAAGTAAGTAATTTACTTTCATATAAGTGACTGGTCTTTTTTTTTCTATGCATACGTGGAGACTTATATGTGCCGGTAAAAAATGTGTATTTATCTATATTTAAATGCATATGTTTCCTTTTCTTTGCAACATAATCATACCCAAGTTTGTTTCATTTTAACAACATCCAAAATCTAGTAAACTTTCTCTCTTTCCTCACTCTGCCCCCCCCTCATACCCACAGACACACACACAGACACACACACACACACACACACGCACACACACACACACACACGCACACACACACACACATATATATATATATATATATATATATATATATATATATATATATATATATTCAAGCATGGTTATTTACCTTACCTCCACACGAGGTAGGATGTGGCACAGGGCCGTTTTTAATGCAGACCAAACCCGAACCCGTAGGCTCGGGCAAAAATTCCCCGTAGACCCCGCAAAAACTGTGTCGGGTCGCTGTCTCCCACCCCAGACGAGGCTCTGCCCTTCGGCAAAGCCTCGTCAGGGTTCCCCTCCGCCCGAAGGCAGAGTTTTCGAAGAGCACAGCTGGAGACGATTCTACAACTAATTTCCGAAGCAATATTCAAGCATCCTTTGTTAAATAATTTCGACGAATTATGTTTATTTATTTTAGTTTTAATCCTTTCAAGATCACGAATTAATTTCTTGGTGTCTGTTGAAAATTGATTAAGAAAAATTCCAAAATTTTCTTTCAAATATTTTTTATTTTCTGAAGTATTTTCAATCACATCTGAAAGCATCTTCTGGGATTGCATATCTATGGATGCGTTATGTGCTAACACCGTAAATGCAAAATATTTTTTACCTATATGCAAGGGAGGTAACTTATTAGATCTTTTTAAAAAAGATCCTCTAATTTTAGTATTTTAATTTAGTATTTTTTATATAACACATTGCTGCTAAAACACTAAGAAATTTGTTCCAATACTTGTTGTTGACTTTATTTATTTTTGGCTGCAATTCTCTTATATAAAGAGCTTCCAGAATTTTAAGTTTTTCATTATTATTATCTTGATGAAGCACTGATGTATTTTCGACTAATATCTGTCTAAACTTTGGACATGAGTGTTCCTTTAAATGGTCTGATATTGAACGATGATCGTTCATGTGATACGTAAGCCTTCTCGTCATCGTCGTTGTTGCAAAATCAACATACGTATTAACGTACTTTAACAACAAATTAATTCGTAGACTTGGAAGGATTAAAACTAAAATAAATAGACAATACGTCGAAATTATTTAAGCAAACCTGTTTGAAATATATATATATATATATATATATATATATATATATATATATATATATACTGCCTAAATATGTGTGTGTGTGCGCGCGTGCGTGCGTGTGTGTAGGATGTATAATAGTATCCGAAACAAGAGTGAAGATGATGAGACAAAGTGGAAAATTTTTAATCAGAGATGCGTTTCTTCGGAGAAAAGGCTTATTTTCTTTGGCGTCATCAGTTAGACTAAAAGACGTAAAGTAAAACTATGTGTTAGGCCAGGATAGCTCTGATACAGATATAAATAATAAAAAAAAACAAGCTCAGAGACATAGAGACTCTCAGGAAATGACAAGCTAGAGTAATAAATCTGATTTACGACAACCAACTTATTATCGGAGATCCCATGATACTCTCATAACAAAATTTCGTTTTTCTTCTTTGAGATGAACTGATGACGCCAAAAAGAACACATTATTTCTCCGGCGAAATGCGTCTTTGATTAAAGAATTTTCACTTTTGTCTCTTCACACACACACACACACACACACACACACACACACACACACACACACACACATCCATATATTTGGCAAAGTTTAGCCAATGTATTCGAAAAAATAACGGTAGGTCAAAAGGACGATATGCTCCTTCTTTTGACGGGAACGTTTGTTAAACTGCCAAATTATTCTTGTAAATAAACAATCTAATAAATAAATAAATAATGTTTCCATATTTCTGAGATGAGCTATTGTAATTATTTACACTATTTACATTGTTCGGGCCGTTGTCATCGTCTTCGTTGTCATATCCACGATATTTCGGCCTTTGTACGCTCTGGCCTTTGTCAGCTTATTAGAATTTCGAATTGAACACGTTATTTCGTTCACCGGGGTAAACTGTTCTAGTTTCACGTGCCATGCCTCTTCCGGATGTCTTAGAATCAGTTATCTCACTTTATCTCAACTCTCCAAGATTTTATTCCCCTCTGCTGACTCTTTGTGTCAAATCACTGAATCCAAGCAACGCTTTTATCCAATGTGCCGTGTGTCCTTGAGGACATCAGTGTATGAATTTTTGGGATTCATAAAGCTTAATCTATCAGGAAATATTATTTTTACCAGAACTCATATTACAATTTTGTTGTTATTATTGCTAGTCCCTAGTACTCTGTATTACTGGTTCCCATATTGTATTCATATCTATGCTTGGTTGGCTCAGGAGACTTTGGTGGCCTAGCATATGTGCTGATTCTTTAAGTTTTCGTATCTTCCAGTGATGTTCTCTGTCGGTTATTTTGACCTCATCCTAAGAGTGAGGTGCTCATTTTCCTGCATATGTGGTCCGCTACGCCTGATTTTTCTTTTGCTCCTCGTGTTACGGCTTTACGATGTTCATGCAGTCTTATCTTAAAGTCTTATCTTAAAGTCTTATCTTATCTGCAGCATTATCTTAATAAATAAGATTTAATAATATTGTTGTCAGTCCTAGAGAAAAAGTATCACTCAAGACGCTCGAATTCTATTTTAATAGCTTTTTTTTAAAAAATAATATCAATTGCAAACAACGAATAGAGTAACAGCAGTGTCAAATGAAAAACTGACCTTTGACGCACAGTATTTTTTCTTGGTGGGGGTACGATGATTAAATTTGGCTATAAATTTCTTATTGCTATAAGGACTATATTTAATGGGAACACGTGTTTAATTTGTCATTTTTCTCATTCAAATCAAACGATAACAGGTCTAGAAAAAAAGAAGAGTTAAAGTGCAGAAAACCTTCCTCCCGACAGGAATCGAACTTGCATTCCCATTTTCGATCAGAGTAAACACTTTTTTGAAACCCAGAGTATGTCCCTATCGATTAGACTACGAGAAATCATTACAATCCAAGGTTCACTTACCTATATAAGAAGTGTTTTCTCTGATAGTAAAAACGGAATGCAGATTCGATTCTCACTATTTACATTATGCGGACTATTATCCTCATCTTTGTCGCCATATTTATCACAACATTTCGGCCGTTGTACGCCCCGGCCTTCTTCGGCTGATTGGAATTTCGATTCGAACCCTTTATTTTGACCACCGGGGCAGATTGTTCTAGTTCCACGTCCCATCCCTCTTCCTGATGTCTCAGTTATTTCCCTTTAACTCAACTCTCTAAGTTTTTGCTTCACCACTGCTGTGTCCTGGTATTGAACACACAACTCTTTGAATCTAGTCACTGGATCTAAGCAACGTCTTTAGACACTATTTACATTATATTCCTCAACTTTGTCACCATATTTATTACAACGTTTCGGCCATTGTACGCTTCGGTCTTCTTCGGGTGGTTAGAATGTCGAACTGAACCCTTTATTTCGTTCACTGGGGTAGCCTGTTCTAGTTCCACGTGCCACGTTTAATGGATGTCAGTTATCAGTTATTTCCTGTTAATTTCCCTCTGAAAGTTCCCCACTGCCTTAACCGGGTATTGAACTCACAACTCTTTGGGTCTTGATATCAATAAATTCAGTTCGACATTCCAACCACTTGATGAAGGCCGGAGTGTACAACGGGCAAAACGTTGTAATAAATATGGCGGCAAAGATGAGGACAATAGTCCGAATAATGTAAATAGTGTACATAATACCTCATCTCAGAAATATAGACAGATACTGAAAGGCCGAATCGTTGTGATGAATATGGCAACAACGATGAGGACATTAGTCCGAATAATGTAAATAGTGTACATAATACCTCATCTCAGAAATATAGACAGATAAAGAAAGGCCGAATCTTTGTGATGAATATGGCAACAACGATGAGGACATTAGTCCGAATAATGTAAATAGTGTACATAATACCTCATCTCAGAAATACAGACAGATACTGAAGGTTCGATTCTCGCCGGAAAGCACATTTCGTCTATATAAATAGATGTCGGGTGAGTCACAGCTTTTCAACTTTACTCCTAGAGACCGTGGCCCAACATATCATACCATTTTGGAATCAGGCTGACCACGTGAACA